GCCTCTGGTTGTTCACACTACGCCTCTGGTGCCTCTGGTTGTTCACACTACGCCTCTGGTGCCTCTGGTTGTTCACACTACGCCTCTGGTTGTTCACACTACGCCTCTGGTGCCTCTGGTTGTTCACACTACGCCTCTGGTTGTTCACACTACGCCTCTGGTTGTTCACACTACGCCTCTGGTTGTTCACACTACGGCTCTGGTTGTTCACACTACGCCTCTGGTTGTTCACACTACGCCTCTGGTTGCTCACACTACGCCTCTGGTTGTTCACACTACGCCTCTGGTTGTTCACACTACGCCTCTGGTTGTTCACACTACGCCTTTGGTTGCTCACACTACGCCTTTGGTTGTTCACACTACGCCTCTGGTGCCTCTGGTTGTTCACACTACGCCTCTGGTTGTTCACACTACGCCTCTGGTGCCTCTGGTTGTTCACACTACGCCTCTGGTGCCTCTGGTTGTTCACACTACGCCTCTGGTGCCTCTGGTTGTTCACACTACGCCTCTGGTTGTTCACACTACGCCTCTGGTTGTTCACACTACGCCTCTGGTGCCTCTGGTTGTTCACACTACGCCTCTGGTTGTTCACACTACGCCTCTGGTTGCTCACACTACGCCTCTGGTTGTTCACACTACGCCTTTGGTTGCTCACACTACGCCTCTGTTTGCTCACACTACGCCTCTGGTTGTTCACACTACGCCTTTGGTTGCTCACACTACGCCTCTGGTTGCTCACACTACGCCTCTGGTTGTTCACACTACGCCTCTGGTTGTTCACACTACGCCTCTGGTGCCTCTGGTTGTTCACACTACGCCTCTGGTTGTTCACACTACGCCTCTGGTTGCTCACACTACGCCTCTGGTTGCTGACACTACGCCTCTGGTGCCTCTGGTTGTTCACACTACGCCTCTGGTTGTTCACACTACGCCTCTGGTGCCTCTGGTTGTTCACACTACGCCTCTGGTTGTTCACACTACGCCTCTGGTTGCTCACACTACGCCTCTGGTTGCTGACACTACGCCTCTGGTGCCTCTGGTTGTTCACACTACGCCTCTGGTTATTCACACTACGCCTCTGGTTGTTCACACTACGCCTCTGGTGCCTCTGGTTGTTCACACTACGCCTCTGGTTGTTCACACTACGCCTCTGGTTGTTCACACTACGCCTCTGGTTGTTCACACTACGCCTCTGGTTGTTCACACTACGCCTCTGGTTGTTCACACTACGCCTCTGGTTGTTCACACTACGCCTCTGGTTGTTCACACTACGCCTCTGGTTTTTCACACTACGCCTCTGGTGCCTCTGGTTGTTCACACTACGCCTCTGGTTGTTCACACTACGCCTCTGGTTGCTCACACTACGCCTCTGGTTGTTCACACTACGCCTTTGGTTGCTCACACTACGGCTCTGGTTGTTCACACTACGCCTCTGGTGCCTCTGGTTGTTCACACTACGCCTCTGGTGTCTCTGGTTGTTCACACTACGCCTCTGGTTGTTCACACTACGCCTCTGGTTGTTCACACTACGCCTCTGGTGCCTCTGGTTGTTCACACTACGCCTCTGGTGCCTCTGGTTGTTCACACTACGCCTCTGGTTGCTGACACTACGCCTCTGGTGCCTCTGGTTGTTCACACTACGCCTCTGGTTGTTCACACTACGCCTCTGGTTGCTCACACTACGCCTCTGGTTGTTCACACTACGCCTCTGGTTGTTCACACTACGCCTCTGGTTGCTCACACTACGCCTCTGGTTGTTCACACTACGCCTTTGGTTGCTCACACTACGGCTCTGGTTGTTCACACTACGCCTCTGGTTGTTCACACTACGCCTCTGGTGCCTCTGGTTGTTCACACTACGCCTCTGGTTGCTCACACTACGCCTCTGGTGCCTCTGGTTGTTCACACTACGCCTCTGGTTGTTCACACTACGCCTCTGGTTGTTCACACTACGCCTCTGGTTGTTCACACTACGCCTTTGGTTGTTCACACTACGCCTCTGGTTGTTCACACTACGCCTCTGGTGCCTCTGGTTGTTCACACTACGCCTCTGGTGCCTCTGGTTGTTCACACTACGCCTCTGGTGCCCCTGGTTGTTCACACTACGCCTCTGGTTGTTCACACTACGCCTCTGGTGCCTCTGGTTGTTCACACTACGCCTCTGGTTGTTCACACTACGCCTCTGGTTGTTCACACTACGCCTCTGGTTGCTCACACTACGCCTCTGGTGCCTCTGGTTGCTCACACTACGCCTCTTGTGCCTCTGGTTGTTGACACTACGCCTCTGGTTGTTCACACTACGCCTCTGGTTGTTCACACTACGCCTCTGGTTGTTCACACTACGCCTCTGGTTGTTGACACTACGCCTCTGGTTGTTCACACTACGCCTCTGGTTGTTCACACTACGCCTCTGGTTGTTCACACTACGCCTCTGGTGCCTCTGGTTGTTCACACTACGCCTCTGGTTGTTCACACTACGCCTCTGGTTGTTCACACTACGCCTCTGATTGTTCACACTACGCCTCTGGTTGTTCACACTACGCCTCTGGTTGTTCACACTACGCCTCTGGTTGTTCACACTACGCCTCTGGTTGTTCACACTACGCCTCTGGTGCCTCTGGTTGTTCACACTACGCCTCTGGTGCCTCTGGTTGTTCACACTACGCCTCTGGTTGTTCACACTACGCCTCTGGTGCCTCTGGTTGTTCACACTACGCCTCTGGTTGTTCACACTACGCCTCTGGTTTTTCACACTACGCCTCTGGTTGCTCACACTACGGCTCTGGTTGTTCACACTACGCCTCTGGTTGTTCACACTACGCCTCTGGTTGCTCACACTACGCCTCTGGTTGTTCACACTACGCCTCTGGTGCCTCTGGTTGTTCACACTACGCCTCTGGTTGTTCACACTACGCCTCTGGTTGTTCACACTACGCCTTTGGTTGCTCACACTACGCCTCTGGTTGTTCACACTACGCCTCTGGTGCCTCTGGTTGTTCACACTACGCCTCTGGTTGTTCACACTACGCCTCTGGTGCCTCTGGTTGTTCACACTACGCCTCTGGTGCCTCTGGTTGTTCACACTACGCCTCTGGTGCCTCTGGTTGTTCACACTACGCCTCTGGTTGTTCACACTACGCCTCTGGTTGTTCACACTACGCCTCTGGTGCCTCTGGTTGTTCACACTACGCCTCTGGTTGTTCACACTACGCCTCTGGTTGCTCACACTACGCCTCTGGTTGTTCACACTACGCCTTTGGTTGCTCACACTACGCCTCTGGTTGCTCACACTACGCCTCTGGTTGTTCACACTACGCCTTTGGTTGCTCACACTACGCCTCTGGTTGCTCACACTACGCCTCTGGTTGTTCACACTACGCCTCTGGTTGTTCACACTACGCCTCTGGTGCCTCTGGTTGTTCACACTACGCCTCTGGTTGTTCACACTACGCCTCTGGTTGCTCACACTACGCCTCTGGTTGCTGACACTACGCCTCTGGTGCCTCTGGTTGTTCACACTACGCCTCTGGTTGTTCACACTACGCCTCTGGTGCCTCTGGTTGTTCACACTACGCCTCTGGTTGTTCACACTACGCCTCTGGTTGCTCACACTACGCCTCTGGTTGCTGACACTAGGCCTCTGGTGCCTCTGGTTGTTCACACTACGCCTCTGGTTATTCACACTACGCCTCTGGTTGTTCACACTACGCCTCTGGTGCCTCTGGTTGTTCACACTACGCCTCTGGTTGTTCACACTACGCCTCTGGTTGTTCACACTACGCCTCTGGTTGTTCACACTACGCCCCTGGTTGTTCACACTACGCCTCTGGTTGTTCACACTACGCCTCTGGTTGTTCACACTACGCCTCTGGTTGTTCACACTACGCCTCTGGTTGTTCACACTACGCCTCTGGTTGTTCACACTACGCCTCTGGTTGTTCACACTACGCCTCTGGTTGTTCACACTACGCCTCTGGTTTTTCACACTACGCCTCTGGTGCCTCTGGTTGTTCACACTACGCCTCTGGTTGTTCACACTACGCCTCTGGTTGCTCACACTACGCCTCTGGTTGTTCACACTACGCCTTTGGTTGCTCACACTACGGCTCTGGTTGTTCACACTACGCCTCTGGTTGTTCACACTACGCCTCTGGTGCCTCTGGTTGTTCACACTACGCCTCTGGTTGTTCACACTACGCCTTTGGTTGTTCACACTACGCCTCTGGTTGTTCACACTACGCCTCTGGTGCCTCTGGTTGTTCACACTACGCCACTGGTTGCTGACACTACGCCTCTGGTGCCTCTGGTTGTTCACACTACGCCTCTGGTTGTTCACACTACGCCTCTGGTTGCTCACACTACGCCTCTGGTTGTTCACACTACGCCTCTGGTTGTTCACACTACGCCTCTGGTTGCTCACACTACGCCTCTGGTTGTTCACACTACGCCTTTGGTTGCTCACACTACGGCTCTGGTTGTTCACACTACGCCTCTGGTTGTTCACACTACGCCTCTGGTGCCTCTGGTTGTTCACACTACGCCTCTGGTTGCTCACACTACGCCTCTGGTGCCTCTGGTTGTTCACACTACGCCTCTGGTTGTTCACACTACGCCTCTGGTTGTTCACACTACGCCTCTGGTTGTTCACACTACGCCTTTGGTTGTTCACACTACGCCTCTGGTTGTTCACACTACGCCTCTGGTGCCTCTGGTTGTTCACACTACGCCTCTGGTGCCTCTGGTTGTTCACACTACGCCTCTGGTGCCCCTGGTTGTTCACACTACGCCTCTGGTTGTTCACACTACGCCTCTGGTGCCTCTGGTTGTTCACACTACGCCTCTGGTTGTTCACACTACGCCTCTGGTTGCTCACACTACGCCTCTGGTGCCTCTGGTTGCTCACACTAAGCCTCTGGTTGTTCACACTACGCCTCTGGTTGCTGACACTACGCCTCTGCCTCCTAAAACTGTCGACGAACACACCCCTAATTGTCCGCTTATTGCCGTCATGTGACTGCCGAGTTTTGTCTCATCTGTGTACAGTTGTCTCCATTACCATGGCAACTGTCGGCAACTTTCTGGTTTTCTTCATGGTTGGACTACCCCTAGTGTACTGCAAGGGGGAGTGTAAGTAGTTACGTTAGCACTGTTACATACTGTCTGTTGTCAACAGTGTTACATACTGTCTGTTGTCAACATTGTTACATACTGTCTTCTGTCAACACTGTTACATACTGTCTGCTGTCTACATTGTTACATACTGTCTGTTGTCAACACTGTTACATACTGTCTGCTGTCAACATTGTTACATACTGTCTGCTGTCAACAGTGTTACATACTGTCTGCTGTCAACAGTGTTTCATACTGTCTGCTGTCAACACTGTTACATACTGTCTTCTGTCAACAGTGTTACATACTGTCTTCTGTTAACACTGTTATATACTGTCTGCTGTCAACATTGTTACATACTGTCTGCTGTCAACATTGTTACATACTGTCTGCTGTCAACAGTGTTACATACTGTCTGCTGTCAACATTGTTACATACTGTCTGCTGTCAACAGTGTTACATACTGTCTACTGTCAACACTGTTACATACTGTCTGCTGTCAACACTGTTACATACTGTCTGCTGTCAACACTGTTACATAGTGTCTGCTGTCAACAGTGTTACATACTGTCTGCTGTCAACACTGTTACATAGTGTCTGCTGTCAACACTGTTACATACTGTCTGCTGTCAACACTGTTACATACTGTCTGCTGTCAACACTGTAATATACTGTCTGTTGCCAACACTGTTACATACTGTCTTCTGTCAACAGTGTTACATACTGTCTGGTGCCAACACTGTTACATATTGCCTGCTGTCAACAGTGTTACATACTGTCTGCTGTCAACACTGTAATATACTGTCTGCTGTCAACAGTGTTACATACTGTCTGTTGCCAACACTGTTACATACTGTCTGCTGTCAACACTGTTACATACTGTCTGTTGTCAACACTGTAATATACTGTCTTCTTTTTCTATGGATACAATTTTTTATTTCGATAGATCTTTGGTCTTTGTCTTCCTCTGTCAATAGATCTTTAGATATTTAGTGTTTTATTTTTAAAATTCGTGGCAGTGTTACCTGTGTGGTGGAAAACTTAATTATGTTCTACCATTTCTGTACAAAGTTCGAAGTATTTTTACTCATATTTTAGGAAATAAAAAATATTGGTGGTCGGGGGTGGGGGCCGGAATGAGTTAAAACCCTATGTTTTCTTTGTTGTCACAAAACAGTCAAGAAAATTTATAAACTGAAACAAAGAAGAAAGTCTACCGCCACCCCCCCCCCCCCCACCCCACCCCACCCCCGAGCTAAATGGAATTTATATAGAAAATATATACTTTAAACAGTGACCGCGCCCCCCTCCCCCGGAAATTTTAGTCCCCCCCCCCAAAAAAAAATGTCCCCCCCCCCCCCCTGGAGAAAAATTCTGGAAGAAACACTGCAATAGACAATTTAAAACAAACATTGTACCAATTTCCTAAAGCAATAGACAATTTAAAACAAACATTGTAACAATTTCCTAAAGCAGTAGATAATATAAAACAAACTTTATAACAATCTCGCAAAGAAGTAGTTAATTTAAAACAAACTTCAATTTCAACAATTTCAAAATTCACGAATTAAAAAGAACTATCTTTAAAACCACCAAGGTAGTTGGGTCTTTGACAGCATAGCCAATTAAAGCTCGCGGTTTTTTAAAGTTGAGAAAACAAGTCTGGTCGGCACTTTAAAATCTGCACATAACCTGCACACAACCGAGAATAACATCAAAAATATTCGAATGGTCATGAATTTTCTTTTTAAATCATGTAAGATGTTGTTCAAATAAATCTTATATTTACAGCCCTAACGGATTCTGCGGCTCTTACTTTCCTTAAAAAAAAAAACATTACATCGGAGAAATAAATACTTTTTAGTAGTTTGTTCTTGGTGGACTGTTTGATAGACTATGGATAAGATGGGGTATTTTAGTCGTTAACTAAGTTGAATCAGGTGGGTCCGCCGGTGCCCCAGCAAAGTGCGGTTTGGCGCCCCTAGCTATCAGTGAGGACTATGCTTTTGTGTTTGCATTTAAGTTTGTGTTTATGTTCTGCGTTATTGTTTGTATGTAGGTTTGCGTTTGTGTTTATCTTTGTGTTTGCGTTTGTGTTTGCGTTTGTGTTGGCGTTTGTGTTTATGTTTATGTTTGAGTTGCGGTTGTGTTTATGTTTCCGTTTGTGTTGGCTTTGTGTTTGTGCTTATGTTTGTGTTTGCGTTGTGTTTGTGTTTATGGTGCGTTTGCTTTTGTATTTGCTTTTGTGTTTGCGTTACGTTTGTGTTTGTTTGTCCCATTTTTTTCGTCTGTGTTTGGGTTTGCGTTTATGTTATGTTTGCATTTGTTTTTGTGTTTATGTTTTGTTTTTGATTGCTTGTAGTTAGTGATAAATAGAAATTAATATATTTCCTAAACCCAGACAAAGCAGGGTATATGCTGCTTAACAAACACACAACTAATGATCCTTTACTAACAGGTTTTTCACAGAGGCCAGTACAATAATTATAAAATATTTATTTCTAGTTTTAAGCTTTAATATATTCAACACTGTAAGGATACTCAGGAAACGAAATGTACACAAAAACACGTGACACGTCCATGTCAACAAAACCATCGGGTCCCTCATAGCAGCTTGACAGATGAACCTATTGCCCGACTCGTTTGTAAGATTAGTGGTCACTTTGGTGAACACTTACCTCACTGGTCGCTACATCTGTCTACACCAGAACGCCTGAATGTACTGCGTGCTACACGCTACATGTGCTACATGTGGCGTAGGCAAGGGGGGGGGGGGGGGGTTAACCCCTCCCATGGACCCCGACCCCTATATATATATATATAATAATATATATATATATACATATATAGTCATATATGTGTATATATATACCGGTAGTCATATTTCTGAACCCATCCCATGACCAATTCCTGGCTACGCCACTGTGTGCTACACGTGCTACACGCTACATGTGCTGGTATTCTTCTCTCCAGCAACATCCGGCGTATACAACTGTGCCAATGGGGTATACGAGACGATGGTTAAGGTCACCGATGACTGCCGGACAGGGAAGTACTCACCTGAGCTGAAGACCTTTCACAAGCATGAGAAGAGGATCAGTGGCCCGGTCATCGCCAATCTGCTGCAGGTCAGTTGGGTAGGGTAGGTCAGCTGGCACAGGTCCTCACAGGTCCATTGTTATGTGACCCAGCTAACTAGTAATAAACCCAGTAGGTCAATTGGTAATGGACACATTAGGTCATTTGGTAACGGACCCCAAGGTCAATGTACACACACACACAAATACTCGCACATGACCTGACACGTCCTTGGTGTGTTTTGTTCCAGCGACTTTGTGTTTTCAGGGTTACTGCTACGTGTCGCAGGAGGTTGCCGGATGTGCTATGGACATGGTCCAGAGCCTGCCGTGTCTGGCCGCTGAGCGAGACAACTACACGCTGATGGTGCGCCGCTCCGACTGGATGTGTGACGGGCTCCAGCTGCGAGACTCCGTCCGTCAAGTGTTCCAGCACCTGCCGGCCCAGGTGATGGACTACCGGAGCAACACCTGCTACCGCAGCGCACCCAACAAGGCCTACACCTGCATGCGCCGCTACCTGGAACCCGCCAGAAACCCGGACAGGAGGGAGAAGACGAGGAGGACACTCAACTCCTTCCGGTGTACGTACCGGAAGTTGGCCAAAGAATGCAGGCCGGAAGCTGCGTTTCTGTTTGCCACGCTGGAATATGATTGGCTGATCGTCCCTCCCGCCCTAGGGTTTAACATCTCGGATGTTCTTCTGACTGCCGCCAACATCAAGTTTTAGACATGACTGCCGCCAACATCAAGTTTTAAACATGACTGTCGCCAACATCAAGTTTTAGACATGACTGTCGCCAACATCAAGTTTTAAACATAACTGTCGCCAACATCAAGTTTTAGACATGACTGCCGCCAACATCAAGTTTTAGACATGACTACCACCAACATCAAGTTTTAGATATCACTGCCATCAACATCAAGTTTTAGACATGACTGCCGCCAACATCAAGTTTTAAACATAACTGTCGCCAACATCAAGTTTTAGACATGACTGCCGCCAACATCAAGTTTTAAACATGACTGCCGCCAACATCAAGTTTTAAACATGACTGTCGCCAACATCAAGTTTTAGACATGACTGTCGCCAACATCAAGTTTTAAACATAACTGTCGCCAACATCAAGTTTTAGACATGACTGCCGCCAACATCAAGTTTTAGACATGACTACCACCAACATCAAGTTTTAGATATCACTGCCATCAACATCAAGTTTTAGACATGACTGTCGCCAACATCAAGTTTTAGACACGCCGCCAACATCAAGTTTTAGACAAGACTGCCGCCAACATCAAGTTTTAGACATGCCGGCAACATCAAGTTTTAAACATGACTACCACCAACATCAAGTTTTAAACATGACTACCACCAACATCAAGTTTTAAACATGACTACCACCAACATCAAGTTTTAGACAAGACTGCCGCCAACATCAAGTTTTAGACATGACTGTCGCCAACATCAAGTTTTAAACATGACTGTCGCCAACATCAAGTTTTAGACATGACTGCCGCCAACATCAAGTTTTAGACATGCCGCCAACATCAAGTTTTAGACATGACTGTCGCCAACATCAAGTTTTAAACATGACTGTCGCCAACATCAAGTTTTAGACATGACTGTCGCCAACATCAAGTTTTAAACAAGACTGCCGCCAACATCAAGTTTTAGACATGACTGCCGCCAACATCAAGTTTTAGACATGAGTGTCAACATTACTGACATTCCTGCTGTTTTTGACTATACTTTATCAACTCTGCTGCCAACATACATAAGTATTGTGACACTTTAACACGCACACGTATTGTAAACTAACATGTCAAATTACTGCCTGAGAAGAAAAAAAAATGTAAACATTTTAAAGTAAACAATTTTTAACCCATACATATTGTGTCTCTTCTTTCATCGTCATGACATGCTATCACGTGACTTCCTTAAGGCTGACGTAATAGGACTAGTCACGTGGTATACCTAACATCAGAGGCTTCAGTCCACATCACCCGCTCTCAATAATTGTAAATTTTTGGTTTGGTGTTACCCCTATCACCTACTATTTTATTATTTTAATAGGGTAAAATTATGGTTTGGGTATTTATTTACAATTTTTCGATTTGGTGTCACCCCATAAATGGTGTCACCCGACCCCCACCTTTTGACTCATCACTATACTTCACATAATTACACTACACACCACTACACAATACATCACTACACACCACACCACTACACACCACACCACTAATCATCACACCACTACACAACACATCACTACACAACAGCGAGCAAAATGTTAAAAAACTTGACCAGCCATTCCTTTTCTTCTCACGGACATAACAAACTGCTAGCACGTTCTCTACAGGAGCTTATCGACACAAAGAGCTTTTTAATGGCATGCATGTAGGAAACCAGGAACCAACAGTTTAAAGAACTTGTATGCTACATTGTTGGCGTGCATTCAGCGACATGCAAAACAGAGGAAATCAATATCTCAACACGGCAGTTGCATAACAGATTTTTTTAAGGTGGTCTTGACTTTTAGAGGTGTTACTGGTCTTTAGAGAACTGCACCAGACCTTCTACGCCTGAGGATTCAAGTGAACTTCTGCGCTAGAAACCCAAGTGACCTTCTAGATGACGGCAAGTGACCTTCAAAGCTAGAGGACTGCAAGTGACCTTCACAGCTAGAGGACTACTAATGACCTTCTAAGCTAGAGGGCTGCAAGTGACCTTCTAAGCTAGAGGACTACTAGTGACCTTCTAAGCTAGAGGACTACTAGTGACCTTCTAGAGGACTGCAAGTGACCTTCTAAGCTAGAGGACTGCAAGTGGCCTTCTAAGCTAGAGGACTACTAGTGACCTTCTAGAGGACTGCAAGTGACCTTCTAACCTAGAGGACTGCAAGTGACCTTCTAAACTAGAGTACTGCAAGTGACCTTCTAAGATAGAGGACTGCAAGTGACCTTCTAAGCTAGAGGACTGCAAGTGACCTTCTAAGCTAGAGGACTGCAAGTGAACCTCTTGCAAGTGACCTCTTAAGCTAGAGAACTGCAAGTGACCTTCTAAGCTAGAGTACTGCAAGTGACCTTCTAAGATAGAGGACTGCAAGTGACCTTCTAAGCTAGAGGACTGCAAGTGACCTTCTAAGCTAGCGGACTGCAAGTGACCTTCTTGCAAGCGACCTCCTAAGCTAGAGGACTGCAAGTGACCTTCTAAGCTAGAGTACTGCAAGTGACCTTCTAAGATAGAGGACTGCAAGTGACCTTCTAACTTAGAGGACTGGAAGTGACCTTCTAAGATAGAGGACTGCAAGTGACCTTCTTGCAAGTGACCTTCTAAGTAGAGAGCTGCAAGTGACTGACTCTGTCGCGTCCTTGGTCTGATAAAGGTTGATAAAACGACTGCACCTGATGACCCGCTATGGCACAAGTGTACCACGTGATGCGGGTGTGTGCCAGCGATCAGCAGACGATAAATCAGTGAATGGGCGATGGTCGATAGAGATGGTCGCTAGCAATGGTCGCTGGTGATGGTCGATAGAGATGGTCGCTGGTGATGGTCGATAGAGATGGTCGCTGGTGATGGTCGCTGGTGATGGTCACGGCCCGCTGATTCTCAGCCTCATCAAAAGAGAACAGCGAGAGCTTAAACTGCTGGCTTCATCACACTTGTCGTCAACCAGTTCACGGGAGGGTTCAAGGGCATTCATTAACTAGGTTAAATCAAGGGCATTCAGTTCATCGATAAGTTCAAGTATACCAGCAAATATACAAAGTGCACCATCGAACACAAGTGCACCATAGAAAACAAAGTGCACCAGTAATTGCACCATAGAACACAAAGTGCACCATAGAACACAAGTGCACCATAGAACACAAAGTGCACCAGAGAAAACAAATTGCACCAGTAATTGCACCATAGAACACAAAATGCACCATAGAAGACAAGTGCACCAGAGAACACAAAGTGCACCAGAGAAAACAAGTTGCACCAGTAATTGCACCATAGAACACAAAGTGCACCATAAAACACAAAGTGCACCATAGAACACAAGTGCACCAGAGAACACAAAGTGCACCAAAGAACACAAAGTGCACCAAAGAACACAAAGTGCACTAGAGTACACACAGAAACATATCGTGCCGCTTGAGATGTTCCAATTTGCCCACCTTAAGTGACGAGCGTGAATTATTGAGTCCTCGCTCACCACCCGATCATACAGGCCTGACTACACCCGTTCATGGGCACCTTGTATCAAGGCCCTTAAGTCACGGGCTCCTGGAGTTACGGCCCTTAAGTCTTGGGCTCCTGGAGTCACGGCCCTTAAGTCATGGGCTCCTGGAGTCACGGCCCTTAAGTCATGGGTTCCTGGAGTCACGGCCCTTAAGTCATGGGCTCCAGTAGTTACGGCCCGTAAGTCATGGGCTCCTGGAGTTACGGCTCTACAGTCATGTGTTTCTGGAGTCACGGCCCTTAAGTCATGGGTTCCTGGAGTCACGGCCCTTAAGTCATGGAATGCTGGAGTCACGGCTCTACAGTCATGTGTTTCTGGAGTCACGGCCCTTAAGTCATGGGTTCCTGGAGTCACGGCCCTTAAGTCATGGGCTGCTGGAGTCACGGCTCTACAGTCATGTGTTTCTGGAGTCACGGCTTCTAAGTCATCTTACTGACTTCTGGTGTCATGACTTGTAAGCTAGAGTATTGACTTGTTGATGGGTAGGACTAGGTGTACGTGACGTCAGTCGTGTTGGCGATGGCGTGTGGATGTTGTGTTGACATGACCTTGACATCATTTGCTGCGCAGTTTGAATTCACTGAGTTGTGTGTGTATGTGTGTGTGTGTGTATGTGTGTGTGTGTGTGTATGTGTGCGTGTGTGTGTGTCGGTGATTTGTTTACACCTAGAACGGTGCCATTGTTTCGACTGAATGTTGTCAGTTAATTTCCTGTCTGAAGGTTTGAATGGATCGGACGTCTAGAAATGGCCGGTGTGTACATGAATGAAGTCAATTATTCGACAAACATCTGTGTACATTTGTGGGTGGTTTTACTAGAGAACTTGTCAGTCATGTTTTATCGGGGTACCCTCAACTAGTTAACCACTGAACCCCCTCTAACTAGCCCGACTAACTGATAGACCCACAAGAGAGGCTCATATGACCCACATGAGAGGCCCATATAACCCATATGAGAGGCCCATATGACCCACATGAGCTAGTCACGTGATGAGGCCTGTGCCGGTCCTAACAATCTATAAAGTGAGGGCAATTATGAAAGATTTATTTAATTGATGAGCTTTTTTTTCTCTACGATTCTACAACGCCGTGAGTCTACGCTTTAAAGTACGACGCACAAGTCCGTTCTTAACGCGCAAAAGTGCGCTGAAAAATTGATCATAGCGTGACAGCCACGTCTGCTAAAGCGGAGTCGTCTGCTGGGCGACAGGCAGGTGTAATTACCCGCTTTCTTTCAGGTTGGCATCACAGGTTGGTCAAACCGTTTTGTTTAGCTGTTGGTCAAACCGTTTTGTTTGGCTGTTGGTCAAAACTTGGGGTTGGCTGTTGGTCAAAACTTGGGGTTGGCTGTTGGTCAAAACTTGGGGTTGGCTGTTGGTCAAACTTGGGGTTGGCTGTCGGTCAAACCGTTTTGTTTGGCTGTTGGTCAAAACTTGGGGTTGGCTGTCGGTCAAAACTTGGGGTTGGCTGTCGGTCAAAACTTGGGGTTGGCTGTTGGTCAAAACTTGGGGTTGGCTGTTGGTCAAACTTGGGGTTGGCTGTTGGTCAAAACTATCTCGGCTAGAAATAAACCGGGAGAGATCTCCCCTAAACTTTCTCGAATATTCTTATATAAAATAACAGGGGATGGGAACTCGGGCTATAGAAATGATTTTTAATCCATTTTAAATACTTAAAGTTTTAAAAATAGAATAAAATCTCGTAGACAAATTAATTGCACACCAAGTGAACGCTAAATAAATAAACCGGGAGTGATCTCCCCTAAACTTTCTCAAATAGTCTAATATAACACTACGGGGGATGGCAACTCGGGATATAGACTTCTAGACATGATTTTTACAAGCTTTTATTTAACTCACTTCCTCGTCGGTCTGTCTGTCTAGACGGAAACGCAGGAGTGAAAATTCGGACAGTTCTACTTGACCGATACGATTCACAGTTGGCACGTGGGTCAAGACATGAAGACAATGCAATCTGAAACTAAATTTGACTTAATTGGATGCCTAATTAATTTTTTATGAATTAATTAAAATTTGGACCGAATTAGTAGGCATGTCTAGCCAACCACACCACACGCGTCATCACCTTCAATAGCTGCGCCATCACGTAATGGCTGCGTTCAAAAACCATTGCGCGCCTACTGAACGTGATGTTCAGTAGGCGCGCAATGGTTTTTAGTCATGTAACTCTATTGTAAATAAAACATGTAAAGTACTGAAAAAAAATTCATAAAAAACGTTTTAATAACAAGCTTTTATGTAATGATGCACTAAAAAGTAGAAAATAAATTATAGACTACTATTTAAATAACTATAAAGAAAAGCGTGGGTCACTTTAGTATCTATTGGATACCTTTACTAATGTTAAGGAAGACACTCACGCTTTTCTTTATAGTTATTTAAATAGTAGTCTATAATTTATTTTCTACTTTTTAGTGCATCATTACATAAAAGCTTGTTATTAAAACGTTTTTTATGAATTTTTTTTACAAGCTTTTATTTAACTCACTTCCTCGACAGTCTGTCGTCAGTCTGTCGTCAGTCTGTCTTGACGGAAACGCAGGAGTGAAAATTTGGACAGTTCTACTTGACCGACACGATTCACAGTTGGCACGTGGGTCAAGACATGAAGACAGTGCAATCTGAAACTAA